ATTTTCTCGCATAAGACTATAGCTCTTGAATGACGAAATTTTTTGCAACATAGGTGAGTTTGAAAGATAAGTTTCGTGGCTGATTTTGCTTAATAAACACAAAAAAAACATAATAAAATCATGGCTAAAAAATAAAATTTGAGAAAGATGGAACAAAATAGAGAGAAAGTAAAAAACGCTCTCCCTTCTCTCTAGATCTCAACTCGATTTTCTGATATGTAGCTCCGACGGCAGAGCTGCCGGAACTGTGATGTTTTCCTTTGCTTTGATTTCGTTTTCACTTCTCTTGTTTTCAAATCTACCGTGGTTTTGGCTTTATTTTCCTTTGTCGACATGTTCTCTCTATCTGATTTTGTCAGAGAAATCCGACAAATTCTTAGAGGATGAGAACAGATCGGTAAGGCGATGAAGTTTACGGTGGTTTTTAACGGTTTAGTCTGAGTTTCTACCCTTCTTCAATGTAGATCTGGTTCTTTTGCCGGTTTTGGTTTAGGGTTTGTGGGTTAAGTTTGAAGCTTCTTTTGTTCCTTAATCATGAGTAGTTTGCTCCTTTGCGTGCTTGTTATTCAGTTGTTGTATCAGATCTGGTCGGCTCTTATCGACAAAGACAGATTTCTTAAAGGGTTCACTCTCTGCTTTGGGCTTGGAGGTCTCCACCACCGTAGATTAATCCATCCTTCCAATCTTCTCAAGGGATTCGGTTTAGTCACGGGGTCTGTTCATATGTGCCGCCTCGGATGGCTCGGCTTCGCCGGAGCAGGTATAAGAGGGATAGGTAGCGTCGGACCCGTGTTTTTACCATGGCAAGGAGGAGTTTCGATAGTTATTCGTGTAGGTGATTCTTCTAGGCCCCAGATTTGTGTTGTTTTTAAAATTAAGGATTTGCTATCTTAACTCATGGTCTTAGGGTATTTCTCTGCTAATTTATTGATTTATTCGAAGGGGAGTAGTTTGTTTTCGATTGTGTATTTCTATGCTTTAGTCTTTAAGATTCTCCTGGATTCGGGCTTTGTTGGCCCCGTTGTGGCCTCCTGTTGCCTATGTCGTAATCGTTGACAGTCGATCTTAGTATCCTACCCCTGTATTTCACCAACGAATCCCATCGCGAGGATTGTAATGTATTCCTCCAATTTCTCTAAGTTTCGATGTTATTTTTTTCTTAAATCATTACCTCCGTAGTATTCCTCCTATAAGGGATGAAACCGTAGATAATTATGCTATGATAACTGAATGTCATCATATTTAACAAAACAAGGCTATAAGTTAAAGAAAAAATATAATGAGTAATTTTAAATAACAAGTATATAGAATGTATGTTCCGAAGAGAATAGGCTAGCGGACAAAATCGTTCTAATACAGTTTCATGATGAACTAGAGAAGTTCTTTGTGCGAATTAGAAGTTATATGTTACTCCTTTAAAGTCATGTACTTTTCTTTTTTTATCCATTTTGTTGATAAGTTCCTGTATAAATAATGAAACAGTTATCCCAAAATTGTGGTATAGCCTGAACATTGCTTCAAAAAGTATGATAATAACGATGGACCAGCAAAATCGTGGCTCAAGTGGCTCAAGCAACAATTTTTCACTTG